CTGTTTATGTGTTTGACAAAAATTAGCCACTCTTCATGTATTCATTTATATACTCCTGGCTCTGTCAGAGATGGGGTGTATTGTGATGTGGTTACAAAAACAAAGACGGCGGACAGCTGTTTTTAAAAGAGCACAATTCAAGAACAATTTTGTTTACATAGTGGGTTGTTATGAGTTATGAGTGACTCTTAATGGATGACATGTTACTGACAGCATGATTTAGAAATTATTTCAATGTGCAAAGTACATTTTTGACCACAGCAAATGAAAAATTTATGGTAATCCAGATGATAAATGCTATTTATTCATTTAACACAATCATTGTCAGATTAGTTACAGGTACTGTTATTAACATCACAAATTCTGTTTTAGGAGAGACGTATATAAAAAAGGAAGGAAATGAAAATTAGAGTTCCAGATGTTAAAATCTTTTATTGGTACAAAAGAAAATAACATATGTGCCCAATGTATGAGACAAATTTGTTCAGGTTTAATTTAGGTATTCACAAGAGGAAGTAGCTGGCACGACTGATAAAGAGTTGCTTGCAGTAACATATGTTTCTTGTTCACAGATTCAGGTAAAAACCAAGGTATTTATGAATAGTGTGACAGACAGCTGTGATGAAAGATGTAGTTTGGGTTAGGAAGTTATAAATATTGATGGAATAATGTGTATAGATGAAGTTCAGAATGACCTTCTTGATAGTAGAAGGACAATATAAACAGAGGAGACAGTAGAAAGCAATTTCACAGAGGAACTTGATTAAAACTTCTCATTATATGTTATTGCAGCATATGAAACTGCAGAGGAGTGGGCTTTATAAACAATCATAGCTTTTACAAAGCACAAAGTATACAGTTGAATTAAGAGCACACACAAATAGGATATGCATAGTATGAATTTATTCAAAGATCAGTTTATTTAAAAATAACCCTATGTTAATAGAAATTAACAAGTATATAGTAAATATGTTCTATTATACTTATTTTTCTATCTAAAGGCCTTTAAATTAATAGATTATCAAATGCCCTTATGTTGCCCACAAAATGTATTTCATGTAAGAGAAGTGATTCATGGGTAGTAAGACATTTCTAGTTATATACAGTGGTGCCCATATGTCTTCTGTGGTTTATTATAGTATAAAGTAATTCGGTTGCAATAGGTGCTAGATACAAACCAACCATTTTCCTCATGTCGATACTATGAATATGACTTATTTTTCTACATTGCTGGAATATTACATTTTCATTTTAAAATCATTTATCTTATCAATTGAAGTTGGTATATGTTAATCCAGACTACATATCATATGTAAATAAACATCATAAATCATACCTAACCAGAATAATGTATTATACTCTCTGTATATAACACACAAATCCATGAGGTGTGGCTGCTCCGCTGTTCTTAGTGATGCAGTACACTGACGCTAATGTAATACAGCCATTCTTGTTTTATCATTTAGAGTGTTGGGCCATCAGGGACGAGGGAAAATATAATACACACCTATAACATATATATTTACCACTATAACAAATGCTAAGCTACTTGCTTTTCAAGACAACAGTGTCATAAACAGATTGTTAGCACATTCGTCTGACAGTGCCACAGAGGCACTGACATTTCAGCGATGCTGAATTTCAATCAATAGATCTGAAAACATGTTAAGGCTTTAAAAAACAAACAACCAAAAAACAAAAAGGAATGTTTGTTCAAAACTCAAAAGGTACAAGCTGCTCAGCTGTAACCCTGAAGCTTTGTTACCGTACAGTGCAGTCAGAAAGTGTTGGGACAGTGATATGTTTTTTGTTTTGACTCCGTTCTCCAGGACATTAGCATGGAAATGAAACAATGACTATGAGGCAAAAGTGCTGACTTTCAACTTCTAACTTCTGTTTACATCCATTTTAGGTGAACAGGCAAGGCAACAAAGCTTTGTTGACTGATCAAGTCAGTCACTTCACCTTAATCTAACTGTGTCCATGTGTTTTACTGCTGAATACCAGACTGAATACAAAAAGCCCATAAAACCAGCAAGAAGTGACAGCTGCAGTATAGGCCTGACAGATTGGGCAGCATTGACTAAAAAGGATTTGCAACCAAATATTGAATAAGACAACTTAATTTGGGTGCGACATTTCAGCATTTCCCAACCTGTTATCCCCTGTGAATGTAAACATTCTCAAGTTAAAACTGAGAATTAGTGAGCTTGTTTCATTTCAAATCTCATGTGCTGGAATAAAGAGCCAACACACACCAGACTGACTGCACTATATATACATCTTTGTACAGGTATTGTATTCCTTGTTAGTTTTCCTGGTCTGAACCAAAGGAAACATTTTATTTTCACAGATATCTGTTGGATTACATGCAGTACAGTAGGTTCACACTGACCAGTTACAAACAATGAGGGCTTATGATTAAAACTCACATGTCTGCAGCTTATAAATACAGGAGGAAATAGCTCAGTTTGAGCGTTAGGCCAGACAGTAGTTTGCCTCTGGTTGCTTTCTGCTTGGTTAAGCTTGCTGAGAACAGATACTGTATCAAGATTTTTCAGTTGCTGGTACAATTATTATCTGGCCAAATGATCCAAACACAGTAAACCATTTGAATAAACTAGTGCACTTAGATTCATGTGAAAGGGGACAGTCTCTGATTGCCGAGAGAGAACTGTTATTTTTGACATCTGCAGTAGTTAGCCTTGTGCTGTTCATATTCAGCCATGTTTAACTATGAAAGCAAGCTAATATTAGGGATTGTGTTTGCATTTAAAAAAAAAATTGTTGAGTTTGTATACCTTGAGATAATTCAACAACAAGGTCGATCAGTTACAGAAATGGGAGCATTCTCAAACAGATTTGTCATGAGACGGGATTAGAAATGCTGTTGACCAGACACAGAGTGAAAATGAATATCAAGACACCTGGTGGCCTTCTAGATTAGACAACAGCTGTTTTTGCACAATGTATAAAGTTAACTAAGAAACATAAACAAAAAAGTATTTGAAAAAGAGATAAATATGTTAATATTCACCTTACATGCACACACAGCCACAGATAATGTGTCTGTCATGAGAGAGAAAGATTATAAATCATTCACATTCAGAACACGTGAGATGATGTTCAGTTCTTTGGGCTTGAAAAGAACAACAGATGATGTAAATCTTATTGATAAATGACTGAAATTTTGTTTTAAGTCAAATGTGATGTATGAAAATGAAGAGAGACTGTGAACTAATGTTGAATTTGTCAGTTGTTGTTTTTGAGTGCCCGACTACTGTCTGTGATTTTCTTTCCTTAAGTTATCGTCATGCCCTGCTAGTGAAGCCTGTGTACATGACTCCAGGCCCTCTTTATTTTCCTCCTGCCTTTGATGAGCCTGCGAACCACAAAGAAAATCACATTATCCTGATACCACCATGGTAGATCTGGCACATACTGTTCAAAACAAAAGGGCGTCTGTTTTGATTATTGTTGTTCTGACACTAATAAGAAAAAGAAAAAATGGTTCAGAAACATTGTGAGCATGTTGGTATACAAAACGTATAAACAGATTTAAACTTAGTCTGTTCTTGTGAAAAAGATTATGTCAAACTGATATTTAACAGAAAAAAGAAAACTTGCAAAAAAAGAAAAAAAAAAGATAAGCACAAATGTGTTGATAGTGTCTGCTGTTCCTCCACAAGTGTATAACATTATCAAATAAAAAGTCAACTCTGCAGTGTGACTGAGCTCCTGCAAGACAGAGTGATTCTCACCAAGGGCACATCAATATAGTTCATGGAAATACTCGTTTCACCATGAATCATTCAGAAAATATGAAGTACTACCTGGGCGATTCTGGAATTATATAAAGAACTGTGTGTCAAAGTTTTTTTGATCTTAAACTTATGCACAGATTTACTTCCAGAAATGAAACTGAATGTTATTTGTCAACAGCCAAACATCCATGGTGAGAGTTGCCCTGTATTCCAGGTGTTACTATGTCAGCCTTTAGAGACAGTACAATTCATCTGAGAGTCTTTAGATACGAAGCATATAGTAATTTTGAAAATGTATGACAACAACCAATAAACAAGATATTCTGTACAGCGCCTATGACTTGTATTTATTTTCAGCTCTCATCAGATTTTTCTTTGGTGGTTATCAATTGTCTGAGGCCCACACATCGTCAAGAAAAAACATTACATAAAATGGATTATTCATTTGAGATTAGTACTTCCAGATGACTGATCGGCTCCACCTCAGTTGCAAAATGGCATCACGCTCATAATAAACTATTGTTTTGCGTTTATGTTTGTAGGATGGTAATATTATTGGGCAACATTAGCCTTTGTGGTTAGATCCTAGCTGAATAACATACAATTCTGCATCTATCAGGGTTTACGTGAAATAAGATATCCTCAAATTAGATTCAATCACCCAAAAGAAGAAAAAAAAATATTTGCATCCAATACACAGTAAAATGTTTTTAATAAGTTCAGTGATGAGTTGAGTTTCATGAAATAAAATAACATTAGTACTGACCTTTATGATGGCATGCAATCTACAGACATATTTAAAATTTCTTGTTAAGGTGAGTTGTTGTCCAAAATCACTTTCTATTTATTAAATATACTGTAGTACTATTGTGGTACTCATACACTTATTATTCTTATTATATATTTATGTACTTTAATATAATTACACTCAATGCCTTTTATTTTAATGTCTAAATTCAGAGTGTGAAATACACACTGCCTCACAAATTCTCACAACAGAACAAAAAAAGTAGTGCCCATGGTATATGCACTATTTTATGGTCCCACAATGCAGTGCTTTCCATTTTATGCATGCCTCTACAGATGACACACAGTGATGATGACTACAATCTCAATTTACTGCTCACTATAGAGTAAAATACAGACTATTTACTATATAGAAAGTAGTAATTAAGTAAACAGGACAATGGTAGTAAA